AGAAGAGAAGAGAAGAGAAGAGAAGAGAAGAGAAGAGAAGAGAAGAGAGGAGGAGGAAGAGAGAGAGAAAAGAAGAGTGGAAGAAGGGAAAGAGAAGAGAATGGAAGAGAAGTGGGAAGGGGTTTAGAGAAAAGGGAGAGGGAAGAAAAGAGATGGGGGAAGGAGAAAAAGGGGGAGAGAAGAGGGAAGGGGAAGAAGAGGAAGCAAAGAGGGAAAGGAAAGAAAAGAAAAGAAAGAAGAGGGAAGAAGTGCAAAGAAAGAGAAGAAAAAGAGAAGAGACAATCTCTGTACTTTACAAGACCGAAAGAAAAAGAAAAGAAAAGAGAAGGGAAGCCTGCCCTGGAAGAAGCGCTGTCAGGAGATCCTCTGATCCACCCTTTGTCCTCCCCACTCCACCTGGCGCCGGTCGCAGCGGACACGCAGGGACGCGGGGCTGAGTGAAGGCACCGGGCCCGGCTGCTCGTGCTGGGGTCACTTCCAAGCCCGCTCCGGACAAGGGGCTCCATTCATCGGGGGTGGCCGGCTAGCGACCCGTCCCGCTGATGCCCCAGCGGGGTCCCGCGCCCCAGCCCCGCCAGCGTGGGAGGGAAGGGGGCGTGAGAGGTGTTAGGGAGGTCCCTCCGCCAGGGACCGGGCACGGCCAAGGGGCGGGGTCAGGCCCTCCCCTCTCTATGCCTCAGTTTCCTCATCTGGAAAACGAAGGCGTGGAACCAGGGGGTGGACTCTCGGTGGTCGCTTTCAACCATAAGCCCGGATCCCAGCGCGGAAGCCCGGGCACCCGGTCGCCCCCTCCCCCGCACGCTCCCCCGCACTCCCAACGCCGACCCACAACTTACCCCAGCGCGCGCTCCTGGGGGGAGGGAGGGGTGGCCTCTTACCCCTCCACCGGAAGTGGGGGGAACTCCGGGCAAGAGGGACCGAAAGACCCGGGAAACGCGGGGCAGCCGGACTCCACGCGAAGATCTCTGGGCGCCTGCAGGACCGAGGAGCGGTCCCGGTGAAAGAGGAGAGCCCCTCTGGGCGCTGGAGTGAAGCGTTCGCTCTTTCCACTCCCCCCCTCCCCCGGCGTCCGAGCCCGGCCAGCGGAACCTCGGCCCCGGGGCCAGCCCGCGCTTTTGGCGGGGGAGGGGGAGGGGAGAGGAGGGGAAGAGGCGGAGGGAAAGACAGCTGGTGCGAGCTGCAAAGAGCCGGCTTGAGTCGGCCCCACCCCCTCATTGGGGACGCCGCGAGACGTCACGAGGTTGGGCTTCCCCTGTACTCTCCCCTCCCCCCCGCAGGGGCTAGGTTCCCGGGGCTCGCGCCAGGCCCCGCCCCTTCGCCCCTCTATAAAAGGGCGAGCGGGCAGCCGGGGGTTCCCAGACGTGCGAGTGCGCGGGCCAGTGCGGTATGTTTTAATGCTAACGGTTCGGATGAGGGAGTTGGAGCTCGCTCGGAAGTAGGTGATGGCAGAGGCCTCTTGGTGATGCCTGGGAGGGAGCAGAAACCCCTCAGCGCAGGAGTATTTCACCTGGAATCTGTATCCGAACTTGGATGGAAAAAAAATATGAACTCTTAACAAAACTTAAATCTTTCTCGTTTACATTAACCATTAACTGAAATTTAGCATTTCCTACACTTATGAATTAAACTTTTTTAAAAAAAACGCCAAGACCTTCTGAGAAGGGATGCATGGACTTCACCAAACTAGAGGTTTATGGCACAAAAAAGGTCAAGAACTCTTCCCTTCGTTAGGGGAATCATAGGATCTTAGAGCTGAAAGAGGTTTTAAAGTTTGTATGCAAGAATAACATTTTGATAAAGGATTTGCGAAGTGCTTTATGCACCTACATTATCTTATTTGATTCCCCATAATAACTGAAGCAAATGCTTTTACAGTTGAGGAAACTGAAGCCCCAAGAAGTGTAATGTGAATGACAAGAGTCAGATTGTGATCCCAGCTCTTCTGATTACAAATTAAATCAGTCAATGAGCATTTCTTAGGGATCAGGCACCCTGCTAGGCCTTGAGGATAAATTTCAAAATAACAACCAAGGGGCAGCTAGGTGGTGCAGTGGGTAGAGCAATGGGCCTGGAGTCAGGAAGACCTGAGTTCAAATTTGACCTCAGACACTTGACACTTACTAGCTGTGTCACCCTGGGCAAGTCAGTTAACCCCAATTCCCATCTCACCCCCCAAAAAAAACACACACACACACAAAAGAAAACAGTCTGTGCCCTCAACGAACTTAATGTGAATATATATAGAGACATATATGTACATATATGATTATAAAATATATAATAATAAACACAAAATATACACAAACTGTGAGGTAATATATTGGGGGTGAGGTGGTTGTGGTCAGGAAAAACCTCATGCTGAGATGATCTGGGGTGAGCATAGGAAGAAGCTAGGGATTTTATGAGGTAGAGGTAAAGAGGGGGTGCATTCCAGGCTTGGGGGGACAAGTTGTGAAAAGCTTTAAGTATCCTGGAGCAAGATGGCCAATTTGTCTTTTTGTTTTTTTGTTTGTTGTTGTTGTTGTTGTTGTTTTTTAATATGAGGCAACTGGGGTTAAGTGTCTTGCCCAGAGTCACACAGCTAGTGAGTGTTATGTGTCTGAGGTCAAATTTGAACTCAGGTCCTCCTGACTCCAGAGTTGGTGCTCTATCCACTGCATCAGGTAGCTGCCCCCAAGATGGCCAATTTGGCTCTGCACGGTGGTATGTGTGAAAGGGATTACTAGATAAGTCTGGAAGAGGAGTTTGGAGCCTAATTTTGAAGGGCTTTATTATATTCATTGACTTTTTCACTACAGTGTACCATCTTCCTTAAGCTTTAGCCCAAAAGTTGTTTGAGTTATTTTAGAAAGTAATCTTTCTAAATTCAATATATTGCTTTACATAAATGTGGAGAAAATGAGCCCAATACCAAATAGAAAATTAAAAGGAGATAATCTTTATGTGGTACTGGACACAATTGTTTTGACAATTTTGAGTTGGTTTTTTAATCTCCTATGACTATTACATCTATAGACCAGAGAAGGATTAAGTTGTTTGATATAACAGAACCTAGCAGAATTTCAGTATCTCAAAACCCAATAAATTTTGCTAAGAACATATTGAAATAATTAATTTGAGGAAAAATGAGAACCTTAAGGAAGCTGGTATGTTTTGAAAAGGTAAAAATTTTTAACTATGGTACAATAGTTCTATGCTGTGGTCTAAAGTATTCATTATAGTACTTATGGCAAGATTTATCTGATTTAAAGTGATTTTAATGTTTTCCACCCACCTTGCTTGTGAAGAAAATGCTTTCTATCTTTAAGAATAACCAAAATTAAGCCAAGGAATATTGACTATATAATAGTTATTTTGTTCTTTATGTAAAATTGTTATTTTTGCTAAACTTAAGCAAAGTTTAAAAGCAAAAGTTTTAAAATCTTAAGTATTTTTGAGGACTGGAGTAAAATGCTTTACATTAAGAAAGGAAAGACTATTAATTGGGTTGTTGCATGTTACATAGCAGAGTTAAGACAGTCTTTTTCTCTTGGGGGTGGGGTACTTAATTTCTGTCCTCTCTTAGCTTAGACAGTAACATGGGAAGGTGAAGTACATCTAGCAGGTACTCTAGTAGAGGTGTTATGCATCTTTAAGTAAGATGGCTTGTAATGCCATCATCTAATTGGAACTAAATTCTATATGACTAGTTTCACAGCAAGAAAAAGGGATCATTTGAGAAGTTATTGTAAGAAGCAGTTTCTTAACTGTTCTTCAAGAGTGAAGAAGGTAACTTACAGGCCACATGGGCTTGGGAAAACAAATGCAATTTCTAAGCCCTTTTTTTGTGACCTCTCCAGAAGCAAGGTAAAAGGCAAAATAGAAGCCTGAAGTCCTCATTAAACACTACTTGGACTATAGTCTTTAAATAAAAATTCATACCCATTAAAGTCCAAATCATCAGATTGTAAATTCCCTTAGAACCATCTATCCAATTACATTTACATCCTCCATAGCTCCTAGCACAATACTATACACATACTAATAGCTAACTAACATTTATACAGTGCTTACTAGGTGCTAGGCACTGTACTAAGTGCTTTACAATTATTAACTGATTTGATCCTCATAACAACCCTGGGAGGTAGGTCCTATTCCCATGTGACAGATGAGAACACTGAAGCAAACAGAGGTTAAATTACTTGCACAGGGTCACACAGCTAAGGGTCTAAGGTCAGCTTGCACTTAGATCTTCTGACTCCAAACCCAGTGCTCACAGACTTGTGAGTCTCTTCTTATTTGTAAAGCAGGTACTAGTAATATTAGCTGCCTGCTCTCCATGAATGTTGTATTATTTTATGTCTTGGTGAGCATGAGTAGTCTGGAAAAATCAACAAATAAAAATCAGGAAGTGTTGGAATTATAGTGATTTCTCAAGAAAACCAGGGCTATAGACCCCAAAAATCCAATGAACTGAGATTTGAATTGTAATTCACTGATTAAATGTCTGTAAAGTACTTGTATGAATACAATGAAGTACTAATTAAAGAAATGAAAAAAGATAATTCTGTCTGTATTCATATATATCAATGATTTTTGGGGGGTAATAGAACAAAAGTGTTAAGATACAGGTAGATCAGGTAAGATGCAAGTAAATTATGTTAACTTTTCATTAAAACTTAGAATTGAGATCAATGACTGAAGTTCTTCAGCTTTGCGAATTTTCCTTCTCTGGAATTCAAACATTCTCCCCTCCTCTTTTTTCCCCCTTGTCCCAGGAAGCTGAAGTATATTCCCTCCATTTATCATTTTGGAGGTACACGTATAGGCAGTTGTTCCCTTGGGGACAGAGAAAGTTTGGGAGTTACTGCTTTAGTGTTATTATGTGCCATTTGGTACATTGAAAAATCCTGACTTAAGCAGTCAAATCTAATCCCTAGTGCTTAAAACTAAACAATACATATACATATAAGTGTGTGTATATCCATATATGTATAGAAGATACTAACTCTTCTGAATTTAGGTTGCACACAGTAAGTTAATTTTGAATGTTCACTGTTTACCACACTCTACTAGGCATTTACTTCATTTCTTAAAAAATTCATGACTTCACTGCTGTGGATTTTATCCCATCCCACTCTCCATCCCCCATGGCTCACACCCCCCCAAAGCAGACTGAGGCATCGAGGTGGTACAGTAGATAGAGCATTAGGTCTGAAGTCAGGAAGTCTTAAGTTCAAATATGGCCTCAGACACTTACTAACTTGGTGACCCTGGGTAAGTCACAACCTCTGTTTGCCTCAGTTTCTTCAAATGTAAATTGGGGATAATAGTAGCACCTACCTCAGAATCTTTGCCAAGAAAACCTAAATGGGGTCACAAAGAGTCAGACTTGACTCAATCAACTAGAAGATGACAACTCAGGGTTGGTTGTGAGGATCAAATGAGATAGTACTTATGAAAAGCTTAGCACAATGTTTAGCTCTAGCACATAGTAGGTGCTATATAAACTATTATCATCATTATTATTATCAGACTATATCCCTCTTTAACTTTAACTTATGGTCTTAAAGTGTTGTTGTAGGCACAAAATGTGTCACCTTGTGGCCAGCCTAGTGAATAGTTCCCCTTCAAACTTGGCCTGGCTAGTTGATCCACAATAGATTACAGTCTGTCACCTGCCAGACTTAAAGCTTTTCAAGCTTGGAGGGACCTGCCAGAATTTGTACTCTGCTTGCCCAGCCTTTGCAAGCTCAGGATCCCATCTCGGACATGATGAAGTATCAGGGAAGGGCTTCAGTGGAGAAACAACTCGACACTACAAGGGTTGTAAACCAGGTATGAAGAAGACTATGACCTAAGGGTAAGATAAGAAAAACTAATGAGGGCTTTTATCTCCTAAAGTGAGTTATGCACTAGGGCAATTTGCACTGTGGCAGACAGAAAGAAAGTGATAATAAGACAAGAGGATAACTGCTTGAGGCAGGGGGAAGGAACTGGAAATGAGTTCTAGGATCATGAATTTGGAGCTGATAGAGGTCATCTAGACTAACTCATTTTACAGATGAGGAAACTGAGGGCCATTTGTCAAATAAATGTTTTATAACAAATGAAGATTCAAACTCAGTTGTTCTGACTCCTAGTTCCTGCATTTTACCCCCACTATACCCTTAAACAATGTCTTTTAGGATTTAATGTTATAATAGAAGCTGTAGAAACAATGTTTGCAACAGTGTGTAGAGGGTGAGGAGTAGAATATTCAAAGGCAAACAAATTGCTGACACTTGGCTCTCAGTATAATTTGAGCTGTCCAAAAGTGGGATGGCTTGCCTCAAGAAGTGATGGATTCCCCCTCTTTAGAGGTCTCTATGCAGAGATTGGATAATCACTTAGGGGTGGAAATAATGAATAATGTCAGCTCAGAGGAGGGTTTCATCCTTGACTTGTTCAGGGCCTCCTGCATACCTTGGGTCCAGTGTTTCTGGAAAATATGGCAACTCAAGAAGACAGATTAAGTTGGCTTCAAGGTAACAACTTGTACGGAATGAGATAGACAGGATTCCTTCAAGTATGGAG